TAGGTTTCTCACTAAATCAGAAATGAGATTTGAAAAATACAATTTATAAATACCTGTTTCTTCAACAAAGCAGCTAGACTCACATAACAAGCTAAACTATATTTTCTTTGATTGATGGTTTATTGAATGGCTGGTTAAAATATTGGGGCGTATCCTTACAAATCACACTGTGGCTTGCTGCAAAGCCACTTAGAGTTACCTCAGACCACAAGATAGGTGGCAAATACATTTAATAATAAATAGCACGAAACCAAGCAGCTTGTACACTGCCAAGCAGCTTGTTCACATCATACCAAACCAAAGAATCCTCATCTTTTTTAAATATTTAGTCAAGCAACCCAAAACTTTATCGGGATGCTTTGAATTTAGTGGATTACACTGCAAACCATATGGATGGAAGTTGCAGTGCCAATGTTTTTGGTTTGACTGATGAAGCAATATGCTACAAAATACTTATCCATTACAGCAACACCCCTATTTGTTCCATCTATGTTATGCAACTTGGTATGCAATTTGCTAGCATTGTTCCATTTTCTTACACTAAATGTGTATGTTCTCCAAGGACAAGGTAGGTTTTAGTAATTATAGCACCTTTGCAGAACATATAAATTATACAATTTAAACTTCATGTTTATATTTAGCAGCAAATTGCACCAACTTGAAGCAGCAACAAAGAGAGCCGGTTTGCTTTGAAATGCATAAGACCAAACAAAAACTTTGTAAGTTATCTGTCAGCACACAATGACTGTGTTATTTCAGAAAAAAAGAAGGCCAGCTAAAAGACAAGTGGTTTCTTGATAAGCTTATAAGGAAGGAATTCAATTTGACCAAAAGGAAAGGTAGGGAGATTGCCATGACTGGAATCTGAGTCATGGCAACTGGACTTTTCTTTTTCAGTTTGAAATTTGCTGCTTATCCCAGCAGATTTTTCAACCACATTAAAATGGCTCAGGAGTGCATTCCACCTCCATCAAAAGTAGGAAATTAATATTGGGATTAGGCTGCATGTGAAAATTTATCTATGATGAGTCTGCAAGTAGCCAGGTTCTACAGTTAAAAATAGTTAGAAACACTTACACCAAAGTGTTAGTTTGTTCCTGAAACACAATTCAAACTATTCATTGGATTGCTATTTGAGGACAAGGTCAAAATGACTTCATAAGAAATGCTGGCACTGTATGCCTTTTTAGACCTGTTTTAAGCTGAATCCTAAAATATTGAGAATATTTTTACAAATGCATTTATCTTCCAAGTATATTATTTAAAAAATGAAACACCAATTACAAAAATACAGTTAGGCCACAGATTGATTGAGCTGTAATATAAGAATAAAAAACCGTTCACACTATCCAAACTTGATTGAACAAAATGCAATGGAGTTTCATCAGAATACCACAGTTCCTTTCACAAGACAAACATGGAACTGATCAATCTGCTCAGGTTTCAGTTCAAACCCTAAACTACATTTAACTGAAAATTAGTGGGATATACGTCTTTTCCTTAGATCCTTCTCTCTTCAGCACCCCATTTTCTTCCTCCAGAAACAAACAAACAAACAAAAAACCCACAAAAGAACAAAATCTGCACCTCTGCAGAATACACAAAGAACCTTAGAAAGAAGTGACAAGTTTTGAAAATCTGGCTATTAAGGATCTTACAGACATCAAAAACTGAAAACAGATAAAAATATCACTTGTCTTGCATTGTCTCCCTCTCTCAACTTTCAGCAGGGAAAGGGAGTTCCTACAACCACGTGGGAACCAGAAGGAAAATAAGCCATGGGTGAAGCTGCCTACTTAATGCATGTAAAATGTTCTTACAAAAGAGCACACCAACATTTCCCTGCAAGAATGTGAATGGTGGTTAAAAGCCAGGTCTAAGGCTTCAGTCCATCCTGTGTGAAGGAATGGAAAAAAACAAAACTATTTACTGCCACATCCTGAAAATCTGCTGTTGGCAGTATTTTCAGATCTTACCCAAAAGAGAGAGAGAGAACTAACCTGATTGAATTATACTTTGCAACTAAATGCTCAGATGCAAATTAATCTAAAATGGCCTTTCAGGATCAAAATTATTTAATCAGTTTCCTCCCCACCCCCAAAAAAATCTCATTCCTAAGTATCCAGACTATGCAAATAATAAACATACTTGCTAAGATCCTTGCTAAGATTTCTCCAACATCATTTAGAATTTAAAACTCATGACTATCTCAGTGACAGAAATTATGATCATTGACAGAATTAGTTCTGCAAAAGACTCATTGTTTAGATTGTGGTTGCACATAAAGTCTGATAAAATATTTTGTATAAAAGGTTAGCAAACAAAACAACCCCAATGGTTTTGGAATCCATATCCGTAATAAGAACTGATATCAAAACATGGTAAAACAAAAACCTGAGAAAGTAGATGAGAAGCTTATAAATACTAATGAACATTTGATTCAACTTTAATAAAAAAAATATATTTCCCATCCTATAAATGCTATTTAAGACAGTTGAATACTAACCTCTCAGAAACACATCTATAAATGAAAATGTGGATTCATTTTTAAGTGAGTGGCAGAGTCTTTGCACTTCCAGACAAAGTAAACAGAATGCGCATTATTTGTCATTTTGCATATTCTAATTCATTTGCTATGTAACACTATGTAAAGATGATGTTTTGATGATTTCTTGACAAAGACAACGAGTGGGAAACAAAGGAATGCTGTTATAATCTTAGAAACTCATCCTTGGAAAATTCTGTTCCTGTCTTTTAGGATAATGAGTTCAAAACCTCCTAAAGTAAAAGGGATTCTAATTTTCCAAAAGGAGGAACCTGGATATTCATGTCATGTCCACTACAAAGACTGCATTCCTCCAATTAAATTATTCAAACAGAACAATCAAGAGATTCTAAAGAAAAAGGCACTTGCTCTCAATCCATCCTTGGGGAAGACGTAATGGCGATAGCACATGTGACCTGGAAGAATAAGCCCAAGGAGGCAAGCAGAGCCTTCATGTACCTCAACAGTATAACTGCAGAGAGATGAAGAGAATTTAGAAGAAAAATGTGAAGAACATGTTCCTTAATGCTATGCTGCCTTCTTTTCCTCCCCCTGTGCTTTGGATGGCCATAATAGGTCTAGGCTTGGAAACAAGGGGAAGTCCAGTCCGGTTTGACTTGGATGGTAAGCACAGCATCACACATTTTCCAGGATTGGGAAGTTGAAAAAAAAACAACACCTGTTTTTGAAAAGCATAACTGCTTCTGTAGTGTGGCCAAGAGTATTAGATGGATACATCCACAAAGTCACCAGAAGTTGAGCATGACTTGATATCATGACATTTCCCCAAGTGCTTTGTTAAAGTACACCAGCCTGATAAATTATATTACATCAAACAAAATACCACATTTGCATTTGCAGCCACAAGTTAAGGAAAGCCTCTTTTCGCTTCCTAAGCATTACTGACTTGCAGAGATGACGACTACAAATAGCCAAAGGTTGCTATTCTGCAGAGAGTTTGGAGATGTTGTTCCCAGGAGAGCCAGATGGAAGCAAAAAATGAGACACGCAGAAAAAAAGCACCTTATTTCTCCCACAATTTTACTGCTCTCACACAGGTAGGCCCTACCTAAGACTTATTTTGAACATTATAATAAATCTGTATAGAGAAGTGTGAAACCAATTTTGGTCTGACCATTTTAGGCAACAGGAAGTGAAGGTGGGGGAGACAACACACTCACCATGGAAAGGTATGGACCTTGTCCCCCCCAATCACCGTTCTAAAACTGGGGGAAATAGATATAATCCCCATGGATTTCCCTGGAATCCCAACATTCATTTCTGCAGCAACACATGATCTCAACATACAGGCAACTCCTCGACTTGCAACCTCAGTTGAGCCCAACATTTTCAATGCTAAGCAAAGGTTAAGCAAGCCGTGCCCTGTTTTGCAACCTTTTAGCCATGGCTGTTAAGTGAATCACTACAATTGTTAAGTGAATTGTGCGGTCGTTAAAGCAAATCTGGCTTCCCCCATTGAGTTTGCTTGTCGAAAGCCAGCCGGGAAGGTCATGAATGCCGATCACGTGACCCCAGGACTGGGCAACTGTCATACCTACATGCCAGTTGCCAAGCGTCCGAATTTTGACCAGGGGGATCCTGCAACGGTTGGAAGTGTGAAAAACGGTCATAAATCAAGTTTTTTCAGCACCGTTGTAACTTCGAATTATCATGAAACATAGGTGTCAAGGCTACCTGTATCCCAACTTCAACTTTAGGAGGAATTCCCACCTCCCTTAGAGAGCAGAGCTGGAGGGAAGCCCTCCAATCCAGTGGCGAAGTAGGGCCAGTTGAAATGCCATTGCGGGGACCCAGGACCCCAGCCCCCAACTGTGCAAAGATGGGTCCCAGTTCCTGTCCAGCATTCCCAGAGCAAGAAGGACCTTCCCGGCCTCTCTCTGCTGCTCCAAACGGATCTCTCTCGCGCTGTTTTCTGATGGTTGACAGAGGTTAGTCAAGCCTTCTCGCCCCCACCCAGCAAATGGTCCCTCCTTCCCAGGCCCCCCACCCCTAACGGGCACTGGCCTTTTGTCCCTCACTTTCTCTGGCTCTTTCTCAGCTATTACCTCGACTCCAGCACCACCACCCCGTTATGCCAAAACGGACCCCCTTCAGCCCCCCCCCCCCCCCCCCCCCACCGCCCCCCCCCCTGCCCCCCCCCCCCCCCCCGGGGCCGCCCCCCCCCGGGGGGGGGGGGGCTGGAGGACCCACCTGGCCCTCCACGAGGCGGGGAAGGGTCTTCCTCCCTCCTTCCCTCCCTCCCTCCCGCGCCGCGCCCCCTCCCCGCAGAGGGGCGCCTCCCTTTCTTCACCCCCGCCCGCTGGCAGCACTCGGGGGGGGGGGCCGGGGGGGAAGGGCCCCCCCCCCCCGGGGCCCCCCCCCGCCCCCCCCCCTTATTGTTCCACAGTGGGGCCGGGCCGAGGCGGCGGCAGCGGCGACAGGCGAGGCGACTCACCGGGTCGGGGGCGGCGGGGCCGGGCCAGGCCGGGCTCTCGGGGCGGGGCGGACGAGGACCCGAAGCGGCGGCCGCGGCGGCGGCGGCGGCGAGGGCGGAGGAGGCGGCGCCATGTTCCTCCCTCCCTCCCTCCCTCCTGGCTCGCTCGCCCGCCCGCCCTTCCTGCCTTCCTTCACCCGGCCGCCGCGAGGGAGGAAGGGGGAGGCCGGGCGGCGGGGGAGGCCGGCGGGGAGAGGCGGCGGGGGAGGCCGAGGAGGCGCCCTCGCCTCACGCTGAGGGGAGGCGGCGGCGGCGGCAGCGGCGAAAGCATCGACTGAGGGAGAAGCGACAGGGCGCGGGGCCGCGTGCGTCTCGAGCGAGGGGAGGGGGGGGGCTAAACGCGCGCGCGCGCGCCAAGATGCTTAGCGCGCACGCGCGCCCACGCAGGCCGAGCCTCTGCGCCGGCGCCGCGGCTCGCGCCGCCGGCAGAGCCTGAGAGCGAGCGAGCAGGGAAGGGGGCGGGGGCCGAGAAGGGGGCGGGGCCGACGCTACGGGCCAAAGCAGCAGAAGTGGACGCGGGCGCGCCCCCGGGAACGCAGCGCCGGGAGGGTGGAGAAACGCGCCTGCGTCGGCATAGCCCCGCCTCTCACGGTCCGCGCCCGGGGGGGGCGGGGCAGCTATGCAGGGAGGGAGAGGGCGCGCGCACGGGCGCGCGCGCTGAAGGGAGGGAGGGAAATGACGTTGCGCGCGCTGCCCGTCCGTGGCCTCGCGGGGACGTGCGCCCGCTCCCGCGTCGGATCGTTCTATCCTAGGGAAGGGGTGGTCCGCGGGAGGTGGGACACCCTCCCCCCGCGCCGAGGCACCGCGCGACCCCCGTGGAGGGTCTGGTTGGGTTCTTCCGGGCGCCTCCCCGGGAAAAAAAAGGGGGGTCTCGCCGCAGCGTCCCCAGACCCTCCTCGCCGCCGCCGGGCTTTTGTTCCGGGAGCGCCTCGCCGGCCCCGGCGCTCTTCCTCCGCCCGGCCGTTCGGGGTTGACCGGTCCTCCCTCCCACCCGGGGCTGCTTTCCACCCGGTGGGTGCCTTGGGTGGTCTCTGCCTTGGGACCCCTGAGCGGAGCCCCGGCTCGGGAGGAGGTTCCGATGCTGGGGAAGGGCAAGGACTGAGGGGTCCCTGGTGGTCTCCGAGCTGGGCGGTTTTCTTGCAGACGTTTCATGACCCAACTAGGGAACATCATCAGTGTTAGAAGGGAGAGGGGTTGCTCTGTTTATATATTAGTGCAGGGGTCCCCAAACTTGGCCACTTTAAGACGTGTGGACTTCAACTCCCAGAATTCTCCAGCCGGTATAGCTTAGCTTACTCTCTTGCGATCCCTTCCTCTGCAATCTCTCTCCACTTTAGGAGATGAAGAGAGAGAGAAAAGCAGGCATAGCTGGCTGGGGAATTCTGGGAGTTGAAGTCCACAAGTCTTAAAAGTAGACAAGTTTGGAGACCACCCACCCATAAGTGTGGGTGGGGTGATGTTTTTTTCTTGGTAATTAAACAGAGCAATCCCTCTCTCGGAGCACTGATGATGTTACCTAGTTGGGTCATGAAATGTCTGCAAGAAAACAGCCAAACTCAGATGGCGTCAACGGCCTCATAGTCATCTTCCATTTGGTGCCACTATTTGGCACAACTTCTGGGCAAATAGACACCCTCCTAGATGGAAAGCTGGGCTGCACCCTCACCGACACCATTTCCCCACCCCCAATAAATTTCTCTAAGCTTCAATGAGGCCCAGAGGCGTTTTTTTTTATGAATTAAGATAATGGAGGAAAGTGCTGCTTTGCTCTGTAGTGAACCCGCTTCATGTTTCATGTTAATTAAAAACCTTTGCAAAATGAAGTCGGACTGAACAGGGAACCCGTCATGCAGAAATAGGAAGGCTGGGCTCCAGCACCAGTCCGAAAGCTCAGAAAAGTAAACCTCTTGTCTTGTCCCAATGACTAACCCAGACTGGATCTTGCTGTTTGGGCACCTTTGTGAGATTAAGGACTGCTTGTATTTGGGGGGGAAAAAGTGGGTGGGGGATGAGGGAGCGAGAGGAAGACCTACAGACACGTTTTCCACAGCAGGAGAAAAGCAACCAAAAAGATCGACTACTTTTCAGCCAAACTCCATAGTTTTGGAGGTGACCTTTCAGGATTTAAATCAATATTTCTTATTCCGGCTTGCAGACAGCTGGGTTGGAAACCTGCCTTGTCACAAACCTGAGCTTTGCCCAGAAATCTTTAAAATAAATAAACAAAACAAATACGGTTGTCACTGTGAGCATTTCAGGGAGGACATTCCAGATGGCACAAGGTTGTGGCTGGCACCCCAGTCTCTCTTTCTGCCTCTCCTGGCTCCCCCTTTCTTGCTGCCCTCCAAAAGAGATGGACTTCAGCTTTGGAATGGGATATAACACACCCGAACAGCAGCACATTGGAAAAGACCACTGTACGTCCTTCCTTGGTCTTTTTAATGGCTGGTGATGAGGACTTTGTGTTCTGCCATGAAGTGTGGTCTCTTCCAAATCCATTTTAGAACAGGGTCGGAAATCTCCCAGAATTGCCCAAGTGATGCCAAGAATCACAATCTTGGCAAAGTGGCTTTTGAACTTGTGATGCCCACTCCCATCCACCTAGCTGACTATTTAAGGCTGTAACCACAAACTTTCAGGAATCTGCTCTCCACGTTTTTCAGAATGCTTAATTCAGGCAGTGCTCGATTTATGACCGTTTGCTTAAGTGTCAGCAACTGGCCTATGTTTACAGCCATTTGCAGCGTCCCGTGTTCACACAACCGTGTTCTCCAATGGCCTTGCAGGAAACCAGCACTCATTTCCAGTTTACAGCAAAATTGGCTCATTGATTTGTTTTAACGACTGCTGGGGAAAAATAGTAAAATTGGGTCAGCGTTGTAGATGTGAGAAATGTGATGACTTAACAACCATGATGGGCAGGTTCCATTATAGACATAAGCTGAGGACTACTTGTGATTAAAATATTAATTACAAGGCAAAATAATGCAGATGTCAACTCATAAAACATTTTGTATGCACGTTTTATGGTTGTCAACAGAAGGAAGTGGGGGGGGAGTTTCAGAGAGCAGGCAGCAGTGTGGAATCGAAAGTACATTCCATTCATATTTTCTTCAGAGACTGATTAGATGACTGAAGCTTCTGCTGTGCAAAAATCTAATTGGAGAGCATGATTGATGATTCTTGGCTATGGACGTGTCCTTTTGGAGAATATGAATTACAATACACTCAGAGGGGTGAGAGAGAAACCTGGGTCAAGGGGAACAGTGAATTACGTATCTCAGAGTCGGCTACACTCAGGTCATGCTGGCATGTTAACTTCTAATAAATCTTTTCAAGTTTTGTGGCTCGAGGCTCATGAGTTAATTGGAGTAACTGCCAGAATCCTGACAGCAGATTTATATAGGTTGTTCCTGATATTTTACAAACATCCCCTTGAATTAAGGGAAGGAGGGGATTGTTGGATGGTGCCTGTAAGCAGCTACAGGTAATCCTCAACTTATGGCCACAATGGAGACCAAAATTTCCATTGCTAAGCAAGACGGTTGTTTTGCCCCATTTTACTACTTTATTTGCTATCGTTGTATTGAAAGAAATATCCTTCTGGGTTCAGTTCCAAGTGGGGTAAAAGACACTGGAAACATGGAGGCTGCTTGGAAGGTTTAATGGTGGACAGGACCACATGGCCTGGAGCTCCAGAAAGGGTGATCATATGCTTCAAGGTGAGAAGAGATCAAGAAAAAAGGTGCTGAGAGTGCCTGGGTTTTATAACCTTAGTGTTTCCTGTTTCTGTGTAAGAAATGTACCTCGTTGGTTGTCAGACTCCCAGGGCCAACTCTGTACGCTGTCCTGAGTTCCAGGCTTGGTCTAGCCTTGCTGGATGATTTATGCCCTTAAGGGCTTTTGGCAATTGCTATACCTTTACCTGGAGTTCCTTGTTATGTAAAGTATTCTGGCCCAGGCTTTAATGACCCACCCATTAACAAAGGTGGGGGTGAGTTTCTGCTTCTGACTTTGTACCCTTTTTAGAGGAAATATTCTGCCTTTTTAATATTTTCTAGGCTATTTCAATTTTCTAGGAGAGGGGCGGGTGCTAACTTCCTACAGTTGTTAAGTGAATCCCTGTAGTTTTTAAGTTAGTCACACTGTTAAGTGAACCCAGCTTCCCCTCTGATTTTGCTTGTCAGGTCGCAACAAGGGATTAGATGACCTCAGGACTCTGCAACGTGTAATTGCCAAAGGTCCGTTTCTTTATTACGTGATCATGAGGATGCTTCACCGATGGCAAGTGTGAAAATGGTCACAAGTCACTTTTTTTCAGTGCCGTTGTAACTTTGTTCACTAAACAAGCAGTTGTAAGCGAAGGACTAGTACACAATACCAGGACTGTGTACACTCAAATGGAAACAACAGCACTTTTGGATACATTGAAGCCCTGGTGAAGCAAATGTTCCTTCTTGGGGCTGACAAAGAAACACCCTTTGTGGCAGGAGATGCTCACCAACTGCCCTCTCCTCCGTTATTTGAGATTATTATTATTTTGTTCTTATGGGATGTTAAAAGTTGATGAAGTTCTCAAGTCCATCAGGGCAGCCTGTCTCCTATTCTCTGGAGTCTAGACCACAGCACCCTCATGCGTTAGGGCTCAGAAACCTTGGGCCTACAAGGCCTGCCTGAGCCTGGGGCTAAAGTCCAGCCCGGGCAGCGCCTGGGGCATCCCTTGCTCAGCTTCCTTCTGCCACACGAGTGCCCGGCTTCGCCCGAACATCGCGGAACTCGAGCGCCCCCTGCCGGAGTCAAGCGGCACCCTTCCCCCCAACCCCAAACCAAAGAAATTACAGCTCCCGGCATGCAGCGCAGCCGTCGCGTGGCCCGCCCGGCCGAGGAAAACAACCCTATAGGCTCCTTGCTGGCGAAAAGCCTGACGGGAGTTGCCACCTTCCCTCCTTTAGACTACAACTCCCGACGGGCTCAGCGCTTGGCAGCCGCCCTGTCCCCTATCCCGTAGGAAGGCAGAGAACAGAGTCGGGGGGCTAA